TAGGCCGCTATATCGCGCCCTCCGCATTTTAGGAAACACTCTGAGGACGCGATATCGCGCTTTCCGCAGTGAAAGGGTTAATGAATTTTACTATAAACTTACTACGGTTGCCTCTTCCACCTAACCAATGAAGCCGGATTGTACTCCTGTGACGTAATTTGAATCTTAACATTCAGCCCTGTGATTGGATGGATCCACGGTTTGTAGACTTACTACCACAGATCACCTACCTCCTAGATGTTCCACGACAATGCTTTAGTTGGATATGAAGTTCAGCGCTCCATAAGATTCGTATCGGAACTAATTCAACCGGGAAATTACGCGGGAATTTCAAATTTTAATTTTGGTGGGAAAATTTAAATAAAGCTTAAAATATTTAAATATAATTTAATATATTTGAAAAAAAAATGCATTTGACATTTTTAAATTCAAATATACACAATACCATGTAGGAAAAAATAAAACAAAATGTACTTTATTTATTTATTTAACACTTGTAAAACAACTTTGTAATTTAGAATAGAATAAAAATATGCTATTACCACTGAAAATTGTACAATTTTATGGACAAAGCTTACAAAAAGTCAGAAAAATAGCAATTTAAAATTTACTGAAATTACATAAATCGTCAATATCACAAAATAAAAGATAATAAAATACACAATGTATTCTAAAATTTAAATAAATTGCTTAATAAATCCTTACGAACTAATACATTTAAGTTTCAGCATGTGATACTAAAATATATATTTATACAAATAGTTTAGTTACTTGTACATAGCACTATTCGTTAAGAAACTCTTCTACTGAATAATATGATCACCATACAAATGGACTGACCATACAAATGTAAGCTAGGATTTGCATTTTTATACAATTTATGACTCCATCAAGAAACAAACTTATCTTCAAAGTGTACTGCAGACTCATTTTGTTTTAAAAACTGTACTAGCATTCATCATATCTAAATTAGGATTATTTGTAACACTAAGCCACTTCCTAAATCGTGTAATGTCTTTATCAGGCTTTGGGAAGGCATGTCTAATTAATGACGAATTGGTACATTGTAGGATACAACATTTATTGTGAAGAACCATTTAACTAATTATTATTAATCTGCAAAATACTGTTTGAACACCACCAGGAACATTTAAAACACATATCACTGAGGTAGGGGATTTGTAATTTACAATTTAACAAAATCAAAATATAGACGCTAATATGACAATTGGCGATTGACAATTATAATTCTTAGTTGTGTTCTAAACCTAAACTGTAGAGTAAAGGTAAAGACCAATGACGTATAATATATAGACTCGGTGAACGCTTTAAAAAGTGTCCAAAACATGAATAACTTTGTTATTGTTTATTGTTTTGATACGAAGATACACGAAGTTCATGATTTCTTACGAAGCATCACGAAGTTGATCTTGTGTTTGAAAACATCATGGACGTATGAAAACATTTTCTCCATTTTGTGTGACAAGCAAATTTTATTTTAAATTGTTGAGAGTTATTTACTTACTATTTTAGTAAAATGCCATACTATTTTATCAAAATAATTATTTCTCTTATAGATGGGAACAAAAAGAAATCATAAATATTTAATTTTAATTAAAAAAATAATTATTGTCATTAATATATAAATGAGCACGCCGCTGTTGTGATAAACATACCTTCAACCTTGAGCCGAGATCTTTCGGACACTCGATTCTATAGGGAGAATAGGGGACTGCGTAGTCTATATATTATACGTCATTGGTAAAGACAGAGTAAAGCGACATCCGAAGATTCGTATCGGTACTACAACTGACATTAAGTTTGGTTTGACCTTGAGCTACCTACGTGAAACGCAATGACGTATAATATATAGACTCGGTGAACGCTTTAAAAAGTGTCCAAAACATGAATACCTTTGTTATTGTTTATTGTTTTGATACGAAGATGCACGAAGTTCATGATTTTTTACGAAGCCTCACGAAGTTGATCTTGTGTTTAAAACATCATGGACGTATGAAAACATTTTCTCCATTTTGTGTGACAAGCAAATTTTATTTTAAATTGTTGAGAGTTATTTACTTACTATTTTAGTAAAATGCCATACTATTTTATCAAAATAATTATTTCTCTTATAGACTTGACAAAAAGAAATCATAAATATTTAATTTTAATTAAAAAAATAATTATTGTCATTAACATATAAATGAGCACGCCGCTGTTGTGATAAACATACCTTCAACCTTGAGCCGAGATCTTTCGGACACTTGATTCTATAGCGAGAATAGGGGACTGCGTAGTCTATATATTATACGTCATTGGTGAAACGTCTAGTTATTAGTGGTCTGTGCTTACTACGGTTGCCTCTTCCGACTGGGGTGGGGATGCTTGAGTGACGTCACAGGAGTACACAAGAATACAAAACCCATTTATTCGCGATTGAAACTGAATGTAGAGGGCAGGTCGATTGCAGTGTCATGGCCGATATAAATGGTATAAACAAAAACAAACATAACATTCGAATATTTACCATTGCTTTTCCATGTTTAGTTTGGTTTAAGACGAGTTATTTGTATCATTTAACAATGGAAATTAACCTTAATAATATCTTTGAGTATTATGGTCAAGCAAAGAGTCCATTGGTTGAAGGAAAGGAAGCAGTTTTCAAGTGATGAATTCCTAAATTTTAACTTTAATGTTTGGAACTGGCTTGTGTATTGATGATGATGAATTATGATCCTATTTTGTGTATACCTGGGAACCCAGAATATAATATTCTGTGTAATGTTTGCCTTAAGGTATATATGCATTATTATACTTTATGTTTTTAATATGTTAATTTTTATTTTATACTATTTTTTGACATATGTAAGTACTTTATTGTATATTCACATAAATAAATAACTTTAACTTGGCTTTATTGTAAAATAGTTTATTTGATTACATGAAATCAACCTTAACTTGAGATCACCTGTCAGTAAATCTGCAAACTAAACTATTCCTTAGTTTTCTACCAAGTAAATTTTATTTAACAAGTAAATATGACAGTTTTAATGTCTTTTCGGCTGGTGTGAAAATATTTAGATTTAATAATATTTTGAAATGTCTTCAGTATCATCAGTGTCAGATGTTAATTCTCCAACTGTATCTAGTGTTGATAGTGACCCGTATTTTTCAATAAATATACAGATGGATTGTGATGCAAATTTAAATGTAATCAATGTAGTTGATAGATGGCCTGGTTACTCCCACAATAGTCATGTATTTGATAATTCTCTGATAAGAGCTCAGTTTGAAAACAATGAATTTTGTGAAACATATTTACTGGGTGGTAGTGGTTATCCATGCCGAAAATATATTTTAACTCCCTTACATGATCCACAAACGCCAGCTGAAAGGAAATACAATTATACACATATCCGCACACAGAATACAATTGAAAGAATGTTTGGTGTCTTAAAGAGAAGGTTTCCTTGTTTGTCTACAGGACCAATGGAATAGAAGCACCACTAAATTGATAGAAATAAAATCTTCAGGCCTTCAAAGCGACAACATCAAATCCCAATAACAAGTCTCAGATTAGGACACACCTCTACAACACATGAATACTTGTTGAAGAGAGAACAGTGTGTTATGTTTGTGAATATAAAGTGACAATGAAGCACATACAGTTGAAAGACTATATCACCTCATTCCAAAATGTAAAGAGTGTCTAGTCAGTGTAAATAGAGCTATTCCAATTATAGTGGCAATTTGTGTATTGCATAATATATATAGAAGGAGGAATGATGTGCTGACTGATAGTGAAGATGGCAGTAATCACGCCGAGCCAGAAGATGAAAATTTAAACAATGTCACTAAAAATCAAGATAATTTTGCTGTAAGAAATGCTGTCATTCGTACTGCATTTATTAATTAAATAAAATGTTTATTTTACAATTATTTAAATAAGGTGCAATAAAACATAATATAAGAATTATGAGTGTTTTAATTATTGTATATGTATTTTTAATTTAACAAAAAAAAGTGTTGACAATTCAAATAGTCACAGAAATAAAATTAACTTAATTGTGTCAACTTTTTCTTATTAAACTCTGGTAATAAATCTGCAAAACAAACTAAATATAACACCAATAACTTAATGAATATGATATTTATGATACTATAATGAACATGTATTTTTATTACAGAATTTTTCTACAATAAATACATACTTATAAGAAAGTGTTTATACCCACTTTTAACAAATAACTTTGTGAAAAATAGGCAAAATGTTACGGGATCTATTAGTATTTCATTTGTTTATAATATTCTCAAGTGATATATTGTCATTTCAAGGAAGTCATGAAAATAAGACCATATCAGCAAGTAGATACATAGTCCTTTCATTTTACGGTATTTGAAAAACAAAGTATGTACATATATTTCAGTTTCATTGTTCAGTTTTTTGTGTTTATTATTATTCTTGAGTAAAGTGTTCGATTTTTAGACGGCAAAACGGAATTTGTGTTGTGGAAATATTAGATGAAATAAGCATTCCTTAACTTTTCCAGAGGACACAGCAAGGTTTGTAAATTATTATTTCCTCTTAAATATTGCTTGGGTACCAGTATATGATGTCGTTTATATGATACTTCTACAATAATAAGATAACCAATTTTTATTTTAATAACTAATTTACAATAATATAAAATTAACCAAACTGTATTATTTTCTAAATTCTCAAACTCAATCCCATATTGATGTTTCAGTTGTAGCACAGAATACTAATCACAACAAGAAGCGAAACGGAGGGCTTTTTCGCAATCCAAATTTCTTTGCGCATGTGCGAAATCGGCCATAGTGTTAGTAGTGTTGTTTATATATTGAGAAGTGTTATTGTATTGTATTGAGAATTTATTTAGTTAGTTATTTAGTTAGTTAGTTAGTTATTTAGTTAGTTATTTAGTTAGTTATTTAGTTAGTTAGTTAATTTAATATATTTGTGTAATAAACTTATTGTGATGGCTGCACGAAAGGGAGGATTTTATTGTGTTGTTCGTGGGTGCCCATCGAAAACTGGGGAAGGAATTAGTCTCTTTTCAATACCAACTGATCGTAGCAGGTAAACAAATTAAATTTTAAATTCAAACCTATTACAAATGTTGTCTGAATGTTTATATTTTAGTTAAATACACTTTTTTTTTAGAGCTGAATTATGGCTGAAAGCGGCCAATAGATATGATCTGCTTTCCAAAGGTGCTGAATTGCATACTAATTATAGAATCTGCGAGAAACATTTTGAACCGGTGTACATGTACAAAGGAAACACACGGAAGTATTTATTTCAACAAGCACATCCAACGATTTTCTCACACAGCCAATATTCAAAACACACAGACGAACCATTAAAGAAAGTCATAAGGCTGGAAGGTAGATACTTTTTATTTATTCACAATTATAGTGCTTTATTATAAAAGTCATATAAAAATCAGTATCTACTTACAACTATATACAAAGTTGTTTTTCATAATATAAACAAGATCTGGATTTTTTAATGATCTTTTATCAGCCTTATTAAGAACATAATATATCTTATGGTTACATACTGAGTAATATTTATGTCGTTGTTTTAGGTACCACTGAAACGTATAATGTACAGGAAGTAATTATTAATAGTCCAACTGATAAAAACCATAATAATATACCTGATACTTTGATGGAAGAGTTTCTGGTAACAGGTAATTTTATTTATTGCTACAACTGTATTATGCATTCAACTAATCACTAATAACCATTAACATATCTACTTTGAACATTTATATGTTATTTGGTTATTAAATATATTTTTATATTTCAGATGTTAATAGGCAGGAAGTGTCTAGCCCACCTAGGCCCCATACTCCAGCTCCATTTTTCACAGCTGCCACACAAACCCCCTCCAAGTTGTCGGGAGGTACACCCAGAAAAAGAAAACTTAGATTAAAAATAAAAAAATTACGTGCAAGTGCAAAGAAAGCATATGCCTCTTCCAAACAGAAGGAAGACCATAAATCTTTAAAAATTTTTTTTCAAATGTGTGACAAATTTTTAAACAAATCCCTAGCACAAATAGTGAAAGCTCAAGCAATTTTAAAAACTAAATGTCCAAAAAGTAGAAGGTATTCTGATGAATATAAACAATTTGCATTAACACTATATTTTTTGGGCCCAAGAGCGTATGCTTTTATGGAAAGAATATTGTATTTGCCCTCAAAACGAAGTCTTCAAAAAATTACTGAAAATTTGGTCTGTAAACCTGGTTTGAATAATGACCAAATATTTGATGCCCTAACGTTAAAAGTGAACACAATGTTAGATCAGGACAAGCACTGTAGTATTTGTATTGATGAAATGTCTATTAAAAGTAATTTATTTTTTGATACAGGTCGTGATGAGATTGTTGGTCTATATGATATAGGAAATGGGAAAAAGGAATCAATAATTGCACAAAATGTACTTGTGATAATGGTTCGAGGCTTATATTCAAATTGGAAACAACAACTAGCATATTTCTTTATAAACACTACCTTTGAAGCAAATCATCTTCTTCCTATTATAAAAGAATGTATTTCTAAACTATTTCAATCAGGTTTATATGTGAATTGTCTTGTTACTGATATGGGATCGAATTTTCTAAAATTGAGTAAATTACTGGGGATTTCTCCAACTAACTCAGAATTTGATGTCAATGGACAAAAAATTATTTATATATTTGATCCATGTCATTTAATTAAAGCCACTAGAAATAACTTAATTAATAATGTTTTTTATTTTGATGATAAAAAAACATCTTGGTCATTTATAGAAACTTTTTATCATGAAGATAAAAAGCAGTTCTATAAGTGTGCACCAAAACTAACACACTCCCATATATATCCTACATCTTTTGAAAAAATGCGAGTAAAACTAGCATCTCAAATTTTAAGTAACACTGTTGCAAGTTCTATGTATACATATATTTCTCTTGGTATTCTTCCATCAGATGCATTGGGAACAATAGAAATTATTGAAAAATTTAATAATTTGTTTGATATTTTAAATTCTACTGATAACAATAATCCTAACAAATTTAAAAATGTATTTGAGGGAACTGATTTTCAAATCAATTACTTAGATTCTATGATAGATTTGGTACATAAACTGAAAATATTAGATAAAACAGGAAAAGATGTAACATGTCGTTCGCGATCAAAAAAGTGTTGGATTGTAACAATGAATGGTGTTAAAAAGCTTTGGGATAACTTAAAGTCTCATGATTTTAAATACTTAAAAACAAGAAGACTTAACCAAGACTGCGTGGAAAATTATTTTGGTAGTATAAGACAACAAGGTGGAAATTCCATCAATCCAACTCCCATACAATTTCAGAGGGCATTTAAAAAACTATTTTGTCAAAATTTTATGCATTCTAACAAAATGAATTGCAAAGATGATTTAGATAAACGTTTAATGGATTTAAATGTAAAAAAAACTTGTAGTGAACAATACTCTCCAGTGAAGGCTATTTCGCTTCCAGATTGTGACTACAGAACAGAAAAACTAACAACCCAAAATGCCTTTCAATATGTATGTGGTTATTTAATTAAAAAGGCTCTCAATATTCATGTTTGTCATATATGTATTAAATATTCAAAAGAAATAGAAGAACTAGATAGTAGTTTGTTATTGACACATTTTAAAGCGTACAATATTGATAAATGTGATTTTGGGGGACTGAGAACTCCAAGTGAGGAGTTCGTACAATATATTTATAAATTAGAAATAATGTTTTGTTCTTCATTTGAAGAAATATTAACTAAAGGTGAAATATCTCACTCGTATCTTAGGGTCATGAAAGAAGTTCCTTTTAAACATCCATGTGATTCATTTCCATATATATATATATGTTATAAAATTATTTATTCGTTTACGGTTATTTTATTCTTTAAAATATTTTAACGCGGATCTGAAAAGTAACAAAATAAAAAGGGGGGATAGAAAATTGAAAATATTATCCCATGTTTAAATACACACAACGCAAAAGTCTCTAGGATATTTTAATAATCTGACAATACCAATGACAGAAATTTCATGACCATATAAAGTTGCTTGTACTATAATTGTTGATACAGAACACTCACTTCTTATCAAAAAAAAATTTTAAAACTGATAGCATTCTTGGTTAATAGGTAAGTTAAAGATATTGTCTTTTACCATGCAACAACAACATTTAACGTTGGACGAGATGAATAGAGCTCTGGGCCCCCTTCAAGCTGGTATGCGACAAACTTGTTGCTGACCAGCTGGGTGTCTCCCAAAGCGTTGTAAGTCGTACTGTGAGAAATCGTCTCCATGAAGCCAATCTTCGTAGTCGGCGACCACTGAGATGTTCACCTCTATCTAGAGGAATCGCGCTGCAAGATTAACCTGGTGTCAAGAGTTTCAGAATTGGACTGACAATGACTGGGCCACAGTTTTGTTTAGTGACGAGTTTAGATATGGATTTCATCCAGATTTCATCGGACAAGAGTTTGAAGACGACCCGGAAATGGAGAACGATTACGACATCTTCAAGAACTGTATGCATACAGAGGTGGTACATTAATGGTATGGGGCGGAATCATGATTGACGAAAGAACTGACCTTATTTTTCTACGTGGCTTTCTCACAAGTCAGCAATATGTGGACACTGTTCTTGACCCCGTTGCGCGCCCCTTTGCTGCTGCTGTTGGAGAAAATTTTTACTTTATGCATGATAACGCTCAACTATATGTTGCGGACATTGTAACAAACTGGTTGGATAACGAAGATATTGATGTATTGCCGTGGCCAGCACAATCACCGGACTTGAATCCCATTCAGCATGTATGAGACATGCTCCAACGAAGAATTACTCTACATATGGGCAATATCTACAATGAGTTTCAATTAAAAGAGCTTCTGAGAGAACAATGGACACAACTACCCCAAGCAGACATTAACAATGTGATTCGGAGCATGAACAGTAGATGTAGAGTTGTGATAAACCAACGTGGTGGCCATACTTTATTTTAAATTTTATTCCGTATTTTTGACATTTTATGGTGGTATATGAAACATGCGTGATTTGCAATATATTTTTTTTTGTTCCAATTTTCTGTTTTTTGCAATTTATGGTTTTTGACATATTAAACAACAATTTAAACTACAAATTTTGTATTACTTTTTTAAGTTTATTACAGATAAAGAAGATACGTCTATTTATAAAAATATCCCTATACTTCTGCGTTGTGTGTATTTAAAATTGTTGTAATTTTTATCATACTTTGTTCAATATTACAATAAATCTTGTAGAACACCTGTTTATCTATCTATGGTTAGTTTTTTATTATTAGTATATATATATATATATATATATATATATATATATATATATATATATAGCAATATATAATATACTCAAACAAATAATATAGTGATTAAGTTAAGAGGACTCCTATCAAGATTTTTTTTATGTTGTTTATTATGCACTTATTATTGTTTTAAGATTCAAATTTTTAAATCAATTTTTAGGAATACTTCATTTATGAATTATTTATTATGCACTTATTAATATTGCTGCTAAGGCAACAACATAATACAGAGGATTCAATATAATATAGGATCTGATAAATAGTTTTACAATGTACGATATTGGAAAATTAAGACATGGATGATGAAAATGTTCTTTTGACATATCCTTAAAATAAGTATTAGATATTCTACCTTTTTAAGAAAGTTAATAAAACTGTAGCGACAAGCTAATTATGAATAATTATAACTTTTCTATTCAAAAATTAAATAACAGATCACATAATAAAATTTACATTTTCGCAGTTAATAATTCTTATACAAAAACGGAAAGTCTTATATGTATGGAAAACGAAATATTCTATTGTAAGCAATGACATCACATGAGAACAGGCCGATAATATTTGAGTTTATAGTCTGGCTTTTAAAACAAAGGGTGTGTGTTTAGTTTAGTAATCAATCAGTCACAATTTGCATCAGTCCGCGATACATACAATAATACCTTCCATTCGAGAATTAATTACGTTTTAAGATTAACAGTTTTTGTTACATTTTCTTCGATTTTATTATTATTTTTATTTTGTTTCCGAGGAAAATAAGTTTATCACACACGCATCCACACAACCACGGAACAGATGTAACACGACACTTTTTTAGTACTGTATGCTTTTAGTCTAGTAAATAAACCACTGTCATTTTTAATTTTAGCCTCTTGAAAAACTTTATTACAAACAGCGCAATCATGCATTTGTCAAGCTTTTTTGATCAAATATTCACATATATAAGTAAAGGCATTTTCTGTACCTGTAGTTGGAATCTGGAATGGGTATAGCGGTATTTATATTTTTTGTAACATTTATAAGTTCGAAAATATTATGTTTGATATTATTTAAACCTGTTAATATAATCCCTAAGTCATCTGCTTACTTCATATGTTCCAAGTGTAAAAATTAAGACAAATTAATTGTTTGAATGATCTTTCACATTGAATTGGAGTAGAGTTTACAGAGCTTCCCCCTTGTGGTCTTAAATTTCCGAAAATAATTTTCTAAACTATCTAGATTTGTTCGCTGACTTTTAAGTTAATAAATCCTGCCCTTTCCAGTCGCTACCAAAGAACGTTTAGACTTTTTATTGTCACCATCCAACCGGTACGAAGTTTAGATCTTGATCATACATCGATGTTTTCTTTACATATGTTTAAGTTATCCAAAAATATCCATATCTTGTTGAGGTAATTGAGCTGATAATCCAAATCTTAAAAAAACATTTTTAAATTTACGTGGTGATATATATTGGTGGAACTGAATATATCAAAATTTATTTATCATTTCAATAATACCTGCAGCATGAAGGAGTAGTGTTACTAGGGGTAGTATGTAAGACTGCATACCGCTTGCAACTGTTCCATTTAAAACTTGAGTAGCTAACTTCACTTTCATTTTTTGAAAGTTTGTTGATTGAATATGCGCGTCGGTAGTTATTTCTAGGTGATTTTTGTAAATGTGGAGGATCAAAAAATAAATAAGCTTAAGCAGTGACATTTAATTTTCTGGAAAACTTTATAAAGTTTGACCCTAAATCAGTTAGTAGAATGTCACCATGTAAACCAGATTCTGATAATTTGGTAACACATTCAGTGAGAACTTTAGTGAAGTCGTTCGCGTCACAGGCTGAATTAAAAAAATAAGCAATTGGCTGTTTCCAATTCTGAAACAGTCCTCTTTCCATAATAACTGTAAAGTTTTATGCAACTACAGGATGATTTTTTTCTTTCTCCATGTTTTGGAATCCAACAACTTCATCACAACTAAAATGAAAATAAAGATTTGACTTAAGCACAGCTTCATAAATGCATATAATGCAATGTTTATCCAATTCTGACATAGTCTTAACTTTAAACTGGATAGCATTAAATACAGAGGTCTGAGTTTACAGGTTTACAAACAATGTTTCCAGTCATTTCTTCCAAACAACGTTTAGTTGGTAAATAAAGAATTTTTTTCAAAAAGTTTTAAGTTTTGGGTTCAAAAAGTATAATGTAAAAGCGAATTGTTTGTATTTCTTGGAATATATTCTGGCCTTTGGTACTTTTTTCTGCAAAAGTGCTTGAGATTTCACAATTTATTAGGAAATTTGTCACATAATTTTTTAAACTGTTCTAATTCTTGTTTTGAGTCGTTTTGTTTTTTATATGTGTTTGTATTTAAAAGTTTCCATTTTAAAAACCTTATTTAACATTTCAGCTTAAACCTGGTCCGACTCTAATTTACTTTCTTTTAACCTGGATAAAACAGTAGCATTATCCTATCAAGGAGCTCTTCAACTCGTAACAGCCAGATCAGTACCGCTGATTCTGTAAAATTTCTTGGTATTTTTTGAGACAGCAACGTTAAATGGACCCTTCATATCGATTTGTTAAGTAACAAACTAGCCTCAGCCTGCTATGCAATAAGATCTGTTTCGAAGGCGATCAATTTAGAATCGTCCAAAATTGCATATTTTTCTTTCTTCGAGTCTCATCTTCGATGTGGTCTTCCTTTTGGGGGTTCTGGTACAGCTGCCCAATCCGTTGATATTATTAAATAAAAAAAGTAATAAAGTATCTGTTTGGCCTCAGAAGAACAACACATTGCAGAGTCTACTTCAAAGATCACGGGATTTTACTTCCTTTTTTATATATTTTAGAAACTGTTTGCTTAGTTCGTAAATACCTACATGTCTTTCCAGCAAGACCTTATCAT